GAAGCAATGTGGAAAAAAAAGTGTCACAGAGACTTGTTAAAAGAGAGAAAGTAGAATTGTTGAGTTTTTCGGTTTAGCAATATGATGCGCGTTGATTTAAGCTTGCGGCTTAAAAGATATATACACAATCTCGCTACAAGTAAAGAGCACTTCAAATGAATCTTTCTCTCTCTCTCTCTCTCTCTCTCTCTCTCTCTCTCTCTCTTTTTTTTTTTTTTTTTTTTTCTTTTTACGAATTCGTAAAGAGCACATAGGTGGTAAATGAACAATCAACCCTTTGATTCAAAAAGTAGAGCATACAATTTCAGAAGAAAGAAGAACAATGTTTTAAAAAGGCCATTTTTGGAATTATGTGTATATACATAATAAATGAGACTTTTTTTTATTCTTTATTTTTAGCTAACAAAAGATTTTTTTGTTTTAAAATGGCATTAGGATGTTATTTCTTTTTAAATTCCAGTAATTTTTAATTTTTTTAAAATTCTTTTTTATTTTCTCTATATTAATTGAATCAAATAAATTTTAATTTAAAATGTCGAATCCAATATAACTGATTTTGAAAATAAATCACTTTTTTGAATTTTGTTACTCGGATGTTATTTTCGAGTGGCTAAATGCAAATTTGAAATGAATCACGGCCGGGATAGTTTTGATTAAACTGAAGTTTGCTTCTAACTCAATTTGATACTGAATTCATATAATATTGGAAACAAAAAGTATAATACAAATTTTTTCTACGGTCGAAGAAATATGTATTAGGAAAATCAAATTTAGAAAATACTAACAAATAGTGAAAGATGTAAAATTGAATATTTCATTATTTTATGAAGTTTAAACTCATATTGTGTACATAGCCACAGAGTATACAAGGTTTGATGTATGACATTGTGTCACGATGAAATCACTATTATTGATCGGTGAATAACAACATTCATTGAGGCGCATGTTAAAGGAACTAACTAGGCACGCAGGAATTAACTTCGTTATCGTTCAACAGCCTCTCTCTCTCTCTATTTTCAGCGACTTGAATCTGTAGGTTACGCATTCTATGGATATATATCTCTCTGTACACATATACAGAGAACAGTTTTTTTTTTTTGAACCAAATATACAATTTTTTTTTGTATTAATTTTTAGGTTATTTCCAATAAAATTTATTTGATTCAAATAAATATAATTATTTGATTAAAAACAAAAAATTTGAAAATTAACTGATACATATATAACCTCTAAAAACTTTAATAAAAAAATTTGTCAAATTACTATCCTTAAGGAAATTTTGTGGCGCATCTTTTTTTTCTATTAAATTTTTTCCTATCTCTAATTGGTTTTGAAAAATGTAAAAACAGATCTAAATTTTTTCTAAAAATATCTTTAATACATTAATTTTTTTTCCTGTACAATCGTCAATATGCAAAATGGATAACTATATAAGTGCCCGACGATATAGATATAAATTCTGTTTTTAGATGCATATATGCATCCAAAGAACGCACTTATGTTCAATTAACAAAACTTTGTTCTTCTCATAAATTTTATTACAAAAATTTAGTTAATATATAATGCAAAATTTCATTAAACAAATACCATTAAATTGACGAAAGCTAAAGAACGCAATGTTTATGATAAACGATTTTTAAAGAAATAATTTTTTAAAATGAAAAATTCTATAATTTTTTGCCTAGAATATATTTTTTATAATTTGTTAATTAATAAAAACTACAGAAAATATTTTTTTTTGGCAAAAAATTATAAAATTTTTCATTTTAAAAAATTATTTCTTAAAAAATCGTTTATCATAAACGTTGCGTATACTTCAACTTCGTTTAAATATTGACTTATGTATTTGTTTTTTATTTTTTTGTAATATTTTTTTAAAATTTATTTTGATGGTTTTTTTTAAATAAAACGTTTAGTTTACGATTTTTTTGGTTACGATTGTCATTTCTTTTTTTTTTGTGTTTTTTTAAGCTACCGTATTGACGAGTGTTGACGAACGAGGTTAGGTATGCAGAGTAAAGCCAATCGAATTCGCCTGCTTACTTTGCAAATGCCTCGATCTCTTTTTAAACAGAAAAAAAACCAATCAAATACGCGTCCATTGGGTTAGTCGCGCAGCAGACCAACTCAGCAGGTGGAATCAAAAAACATTCGTTACAAATAGTGTCGAAAATCGATCACAAAATAACGATTACGCATACATATATAATCGCGATTACAAAAATTGAAATTCGATGAAGAAAAATTTTTTTTGTTAGTATAATAATTTTGACAACGCTGTTTTAAAGTATTTTTTCGGTAAAAATTTTTACAAAGTTTTACTTTCATTTGTTTAAATATAATAATGATAATAATAATCCTATTAAGTATTTCATTAACCTCAAAGTTTTCTGAGGCTCTCAAATTGAGACCGCATAAACAGCATCAAAACGTTGCATTAACAACAATTTGATACACTTTATTGTCTCAATTTTAGATCCTCAGAAAACTGTTCTAATCATATCTGATATAAGGTAGAAATTTAATTGACCAACAGTCAAATTTTTATGTACACGGAGAGAAATAATTGGTTAGGCTATGCTAAGTATTGGATAGGGTATAGCAATTTTTGTTGGGCTCTATAGCGCGATCAAATTAGTTTGCTGCTGCAACTATTTCTGTTGCATACTCTCAAGTTGGATACTGTAACAAATTTCGATAGCTAGTATATAAATTCCGTTGAATGCCTCATCCATCTCTCTTGCGCACAGTTACCTTTAATTTTGTTAGTACAACTATTTTGATTGGTGGGATATCTATCCCTTTTTTTAATAATATTTAGAAAGAAAATAGATTTAATTAAATAAAAATATCTTTCATACACGATACGATAATAAATGTTTTTTACTATAAAAACAAACATTTACTTGACCGGATATGACATTTTTTTATTTGATTTTATATAGTCACTTATATGGTAAATAATAATTCATTTATAGACATCAGTGAAATTATAATAAATGAAAATTTATTTTCATTTCTCTTTTATACAGTATTCAAACGCATAGAGAGGACCAGACTTTTTTTTATCGCACTTCCATGATGACACATGTTATGGTGCTTCGGTTTTAGTATGTCTTGAAATAAACGGATATACATTTTGTGATGTTCCGATACTAAATTATCTAATATATCATTTGATATATCATTTTAGATAGATGTTACAACAAATTCTCTGTTATCCAATGATGGTAAATAATAATAGTAAGCAAGAATGTTTTATATGAAAAAATTTCATATTTAATTTATTTATATCTATAACATTTCACATAAATATGATATATTTATAATTCACTTTTTTTATTAGTAGTTATTAAATATAATTCACACTAAATAACCGTTGATCATTTTACATTATATAATAATTGTTAGTTATCTTTACAATATTATATTTTAATTTACTTCAGCAGTTGTACTTTTTTTATTTTTCAGAATTTTTCCATATATTTATTTTCTTATTATTTTTTTTTTATAATATAATTTTTTTGCTTGCCATTTTTTATTCAAAATCTTTTTTTATCTTTTTATTATTTTTTTCAATCTTTTTTTCTCTTTTCTTTTCTTTTTTTTGTTTTTTTATCTTTTTTTCTTTTCTTTTACGTATTTTTTTTTGCATTATATTTTTTTTATTTTTTCCTTTTTTGTTATTTGAATATATTTTTTTTAATTAATCATTTTTCTTCATTTTATATTTTTTTTCTGCTTTATTATTAATAATTCTTTTAACAACTACTTTTTTATGTTTCAAATTCTGAAGACAAATACTGTATAATAAATATTAATAATTATTAATTATATATTATAGATATAGATTAATAATTATTAATTAACAAATAATAGTATAAAAGTCATAGTGAAACAATAATTTAAAATTAAATCGGAGTTTATAACAAATTATTATGTATTTTATCAGGAAAATATAGTTAATAAGATTAACAATCGATTATCTACAACTATCCTCGTTCTTTTCAAGTTAAAACTGGATCTACAATTTTATTTCTCAAAAATGAATTCTAAATTTTTATCGTTATCTATATAGGCAAATTTTTTGTATTGTTTTCTTATAAAGAACTTTTCTTAATGTTTACTTAAGATAAAAATTATTATAACAAAGGAATTCTTTTGCTCTGTTTAAAAAAAAAATTGATTATCTTTTAATTAAACAGAATTTTATAAAATTGAAAGTTATTCAAAAAACACATTTATCGAAATAAATACAATATTGAAAAAAAATTAACACAAATAAATAAATAATTCTTATAAATTAAAATTAATCTAAATCATTCATTGATTTTTTTATCTATATTAACAATTTAATATTATTAATTAATTAATAATAATAATAATAATAATAGTAAATAATAAATCTAATAACAGAAACGAAATAAAAAGAAATTTATTTTTTATAAGTTTTAAAAATGATTAATTAAAATTTATTTTCTATTTACTTTCAGAAGCATTGTAAACAAAATTAATTCATTGATAACGAAAATGAAAAAAAAGAAATTAACTATCCAAAAAATAAGTGGGAAAATTACAATTCAGATTGAATGGAATTCCCCAGAATGATTAATGACAGAAAAGGATGAGTGTCATTCTAACCTCAATATTATTGACTTCTGACAAAAGCAACAGATTTCGTCAATACACAACAATAGTCCAAAAGAAAATTTTCAATAAGAAAATTAATTTTAAATTTACATAAAAAATCATACTTTTTATTAAATAATGACAATCCGGTGATAAAAAATTTATGTTATTAAATTGTCAAATTAAAATCATTAATTTGATAAAGAGAAAAATGAGAATTAAAAAAAGACAAGTCTAATGTCAATTTATAGAATTAAATAATAAAATTGTTAAAGAATAAAAAGATTGTTATGGAGAAATATAAGAGGAATTAATAGATTTATTATGAAAAAAGGTAAAATTGTGGTATGCTTTTTTAGTGTGACACCCACCTTGCCAAGGGACCACTCCTCTTCGCACGTTGACCCAGAATTTTCTCCACCACTGTCACATTTCCGCTTCGGGCTGCATCCAGCAGCTCCTGATCTTTGCCCATCGCCCATTTACACACAATACACAACACGAATTTCACCTGTACAACTTGATTTTTTTCAAATTTACTACGAATTACTCCAATTTCATTGATCGTGCGGCGCCATCTTGATCTCTACTGCGCCACCATCTGCCGGTAATTTTACACACTATATATCATACTCCAAATACCAGTGAAGTAATCAATAATCACGGCGCCCACTATTTTATAACTAAATACTTAAATAATTCAAAAATTTTAATAAAAATTATTGCTTATTATTATTATTATTATTTTTTTATTATTAAAATTTAAATATATTTAATATTTTTATTGTTAAATTTTATATAGAAAATTTATTAAATTAAAAATTTTTTTTATATAAAATTTGTGTTTATTTTTAAAAATATTTTGTATATATTATTTTTTATTTTTATAATATTAATTTGCTAAACTTTTGTTATTATAAATTGTAATTTTTATTAACAAATTTTTTACTACTCTTTAAATTTTATTTATTAATTTATTTAAAAAATAAAGGTAGTGAAAATAAATTTAAAATATTTTATTAATTTTATTTATTTATTTAAACAAATTTTAATAAATTTATTTTATTAACAAATTTTTTACTACTCTTTAAATTTTATTTATTAATTTATTTAAAAAATAAAGGTAGTGAAAATAAATTTAAAATATTTTATTAATTTTATTTATTTATTTAAACAAATTTTAATAAATTTATTTTATTAACAAATTTTTTACTACTCTTTAAATTTTATTTATTAATTTATTTAAAAAATAAAGTAGTGAAAATATATTTAAAATATTTTATTAATTTTATTTATTTATTTAAACAAATTTTAATAAATTTATTTAAAAAAATTGAATCTTCTTATTAAATGTAAATAATATAATTATGTATTTATAATTAATTTCTAATTTTATTAAATAAATTATTAACAAAACTTAATAACTATTAAATAATTTTTTTTTTTTTTTATTAAATTATAATCTTTAAATATTTTTATTTCATTTCTTTTCGCGCATTAAACGTATTGTCACATGATTGTCGTTCATCTTTTTATGCAAAAAATAAATATGCGAAAATATAATAATAATTTAAAACTTTTTATCACTATAAGTATTTTCTTTTAAATAAAAACTATTTTTATTGTTTTAAAATAAATATTTATTATCAAATTTAAAAAAAAAATTGAATAAATTTATTATTTTACATTTTTTATTTTTTATTTTATTTTCAGCTAAGGCACCTTTTAAATGTAGTGACATCCCTGAAAGAGTTGCGCGTACGGTCGATTATACAACTTCTGTGTATAAACACATATAGATATACCAGCAAGGTGTACACTCATACTATAATAAAAACTTGGAAATTGTGATTCACGTGGATAATAAAATCAAAAATGACTATAAATATCGTTGAAATAGCCGCAAGTACATATTTTATTTAATTTCGCTAAAAATATGACCAACGTGAGAAATTTAAAACTGACGATAAAAAAAAAAAAAAAATTTTCCTTCAATATTACTAAAAAAATAAATAAAAAATTTTATAATAGAAAAATGAAATTAAAAAATTTTTTATTTTAATTACAATATTTTGATTTTTTATATTTTATGATAATTGTATATTTATATTTTATCATTCTCCTTTATATTTGGATTCTAATTTAATCAAATTTTTAATTTAAATAGGTATTAAAAAAAATTTATTTACAATATAATTAATAAACGGGCTTACTAAAATTATTTTATTATAATTTAAACATTAATGTATTTATTTAAATTTTTATAAAATATATTTTTTTACAAAATTAAAATTTTTTATTTGATTTGGTTTCATAATAAAAACTATAACATTCGAACAAATGGATTTTTTAATAATATTTTCTTCAACATTTCAAAATCACATACTGATTTCCTCTTCAGAGAGTCTAACAATACAAAAAAAGTATAAAATTAAAATTTTTAAATTAAATTATTAGCAAATTTAATACTTAATTTAAAAAAAATTTACCATTCCTAAATTTAGTTTATAAAATACAATAAATAAATTTATTATTTTAAGCTAAAAAATAATTTTATTTTTATGTTATTTAATTTTTATTCGTATGGTATTTATATGTAAGTTTTTATCTATATATAATAACTGCCGATGAATTATTATTTTATTTAAAATTGTATGTTTTATATTTTACATAGAATTAAAATTTTATTTTATTGTTGAATCGAAAACTATTGAAAAAAGAAATCAAGCATTGACAAAATAAAACTTAAATAGATGGGCGTACTCCGTTTATCGTTTCTAAATACAGAAGATGGAGTTGCAGGCGCTGGCTTAAAATATTGGCGCTTTATTTAAATTAAATATTAGAAATTTAATTCGAAATAATTAATTTAAAAACTTAAGTTACGTAATAAATGTTGAATAATAATATCAATAAACAAATTTTTTAATAATAACAACAAAATAAATAAATTTAACATATAAAATATGAAAAACAATGGAACGCATAATGGGGCCGTCCATAAAATATGTGACCACTTTTTGGGGGGAGGGGGTCATGTTCATAACTATACGATTTGTAACGCGAGGGGGGTGGGGGTTCCGACAAAGTAACGTTACAAGTAAAGTGTACACAGAAAAAGACTGAGTTCATTTTTGTTGCAGTTCATTCTGAATTCGGTATCATAATAAACAACAACTAACTTCAAGTTACTCAAAATGAACCGGACTCGGATCAAATGTCAGGTTATGTTAGTTTCTGTTGAAATTCAAGATTTTAAGATTATTATGTTGGCAACAACTGCAACTTATGTAGGCAGCGCCACACTGGCGCAATATTCAAATTGAAATAGTAGAAATATTTTTTACTTTAATTTAACAATAAATTTGAATAATTATAGTTAATGTATAATATAAATTATTATTATATATTATATTTATAATATTTATTTACAAACTATTATATGTATTATATTTTAAAATAGTATAATATATATATAATAATAGATAATATATAATAATTGTAAAATATACAAGAATTACAATTAAAAGAATGGAATGGGATAAATTTATTAAAATAAGTTTAAATAAAAATTTATATATATATATTACATTAATTATATTAATATTTATTTAATATTAATAATATTAATCTTATATGAGAGATAATAATATTTTACAATTATATAATTATATAATATATTATATGTATTATAATACATCATATAATTATAAATATATATTATTAATATATGTTATAACAATCATTACATTATTATAATGAATAACTCTTTATTTTTGGTTATAGTTTCAAGTTTAAATTTGGCGCCATTATCTTTGGTTTTTAGACAGTGGCGCCGTTAAATTTCATGTTTTGTGTTGCATGGTTGGTATTTATTTCTGTCAATTCAGAAGTTTCTAACCTAAAAATAATTTATTTTGGTTTTCTATAAATTCAATGAATCGGATTTAAGAAACAAAGTTTTTTCAAGTGTAATCTGTTTGTTCATTGAAAACAATGATTTTGATTAATGGTTTTATGATAAAGTGCTTCTTAATTGACTATAATTGTCATTTTAACTTGAACTCAAAATGAATCGGATCTAGCTCATTTTGATGCTTTTTGCCTGAAGTTTAAAATTAGTTTTTCGAGTTTCATTTTTGTTGCAGTTCAAAATGAGTCCACCGACTCATTTTGAACTCAGTTTTTTTCTGTGTACTCTATGTCAAAAAAATTATTAAATACATAAGTACTTATGTTTCAGATTTTTAAAATGTTTACCATATTATTAGAAGATTTGAAAAATCTATATTTAACAATTTATTTTTTATAAAGTTAAAAGACAATATTTTTACTTAGGTTTTAATTAAATTGTTCTTACGTAGAAAGAATAAACACAATTTTATTTTAGGTTTTAGTTGAAGGTAACGTTACTTTATTATAGTGAATTAAAATTTTTTGGAGGTTAGTTATTTATAAAATATATATATAAATCAAGTTAAAAGTAATAAATACATATTTCTAAGAATTCATAATCACGAGAAAGGACAAGAAAATTCAAATTTTTTGAGGTTAGGTTTAGCAAAAGCTTCAAATAAAAAAAGAAAGACTACTTATATATATATATATATATACTACTTGGTGGTGTAAACGGTTTCTTTATACAAAACTGAAAAAAAAATCTATGAAATACGATTCTTTATACCCTAATAGCTTGGCATTTTTTTTCCTCCAATTTCGTTTATTATGAAACATCGCAGGTAAATAAGCAGAAGGCAGTAAACACACAGAGGATAAAAAAAGGACGCGTTCTCCCTTAATACATATACTATATATATATATATATATATATGTATATATATATGTATCGAAGCTGTGTTGCAAATTATAGGAAAATAATGAAAGACAGCTTAAAGCACAAGGGGATGAGAGTCCGCCGCCCCGAAGTTAGGTTTTCGAGTTTGGCGAAGGGATGTAGAGAGCGAGTGAGAGAGAAAGAGAGAGCAGTCAGTAGGCCCCCCCGCAGGTTCTATCAATGTTGTCCACTCATGTGGAAACTTCGGCTGCCGAATCACCCCATGCAAAAGCGGCGGGCATTCGTGCCTCCCGCCTTTCTCACCATAACGCGGCTATCCCCAACCGCCCGCAACACTAACACACACACACATACATCTACATACTAATACAATACATGTATAACAACTCTAGAATCTTCTCTCTAACCAGCTAGAGCAAGATTCACATTTACCTAATTGTGTCCCCATATTTATTTAGTGCAGAACCTATTTAGATTACACGCTCACTACATGCGTAACTGCACATCCCCATTGCAGTATCTATATGTATACACACACTATATATGGGCTATCTGCACGATCTGCTTGAGTTCTGGTTCATTCCATTTGTACCCCTGAGAATAACAATTTGTACAGAAACAGAGTATATTGTAATATAACTCTTACAATAAAATGTATATCGTTTGTGAAAGAAATTTTTCTTTTATAAAATTAAAAGATGAATTAAACTCCTGCTTTCTTAAATGAAGTTAACCTCAAATTTTAATTACAAGAATCATCTATTGTTGAATTTGATCTTTTATTAAATAAAATATTTTTTCTAATTAACACTTTTTCTCTAATTTACGATAGTCAATATTTCAATTAAAGATATACATTTTTCAATGTATATATAGGAGTGAAATCACATGGTGGCGTAAAGCGTCAAATTTTGTAACTAAACCATGAGTGTGAAAAGGACAAATCTATATCTTTATTTCTTTCATATTAATTTTCTAGTTACAAAATTTGAAGCTTTTGCACCTCCATGTGATTTCACTCTAAGTTTATCAAGGTGGTTCCACAATATAGGTGCAAAAGCTAAGTGCGCAAGTCCAAGTGTCAATCTCATGAGTGTGAAAGAGATAGGTAGTCTATTTATCTCTCTTGCACTCATGAGATTTGGCTTTTGCATATCTATTCTGAAACCGCCTTCACACGTTTATGATTATACACCCAATTGCATAAACGATGCACTTCCGGTTTGACGACATTATGAAAAGTCGTGTCACTTTTATAATAATTTTATTAGTTTATAGCGTAAAGACCAAAACAGAATATACAAACGAAACAGGAATCGCAAACGAAAGAATCAATTAGAGAAGGATAAACAATATATCTATCTTTTTCTAACTCATTCTTCCGGTTGCGTTTATGCGATTACGATTATGTTTCTATTCTGCATTGGCTTTTCAGGCCTTAACGAATGATAAATATAATGTGCCACGAACTAATTAAAATTATTATAGAAGTGTAACGACTTTTCAAAATGACAGCAAACCGTAAAGAACAGAATATTTATAGATATAAGACAGAGCTATGTTTGTTTCCTTTTCTATCACATGTTTGGATCATTCGCCGAACTGTCTTTACGAAGCAATTGTGCATTGGCCCTAAATTTTCCTTCCTATAAGATAATTTTGACTACTCAACCCTGTCGACTGACCTTTTCTTTACATCGTCCCTTGTCCACACTTATATCCCAGATAACAATAATGCGCGCATTTAAGATCGCACTTAGTGATTCTCCTATGATGCATGCAAAAGCAGTATGCTGATGCGACACATGTGCTTACAGTCGCATTCATGCTAGCAAGAAGTTCTCTTTATGCCTTCACGTATGCGATCTCCTACAATGCATTTGAAATGCGCCTTCAATGAACTCACACAGTATGCGAATTACAATAAAAATTATTTAATTTAAATAGCTTAAAACATGCGTAATATTATGTTAAGATGAAAATTCTCTCTTGAAAACATAATTAATGAAAGTTAATAAGAAAGTAATCTCTAAATCTGAATTAGTGAAATACTACTAACAAATAGTAAAATTTGACTAATATTAGGGCGGAAGACTTTTCCTCTTTTTATTAGTTAAATATAACTAATTTTTAGTAAATATTCACTAATTTTTTAGTATTATTTCACTAATTACTAGTCATCTCACTGACTAAATGAATTAGTCAAACTGTTTCATTGACTGTTATTAATAAGGCGGAATGACTAATTCTTTAGTCAAATTCTACTAACAATTAAGTAAAATTTCACTAAATGTTAGTTAAATTGTTACTAAATCATTTAGTCTTTTCATTAGTAAAAAACTACTAATTTATGATTTAGAGAATAAATTAAAGTTAATAATAAAGTTTGTTGATCAGATTTATATGAAATGGACTTTTAAAAATATAAGAATTTTTTAACAAACTTATGAATTTATATATATTTTTATTAAAATTCCTGTGACGAAAGTCCGTGAAAAATTTTGTATTCTTTGAATATAGATAAAATTCCAGTAGCAATCGTTTTGAGTGGTATCAGAAATCAATTTCGGCCTATGTCGATTTCATCAATTAAGTAATTGATGCCTCTCCTTTCCAATTAGATATTTTTAATTCATCGAATAGATTAAAATTCCCGCGTCTGATTCACGTTCCCGAATGTAGGTGGCGCGTAATGCACTTGAGTCAGCTGACAGCCGGAAAATGTATTAATATCATATTTTTATATAAATCGTGCGTATTTATAATTTAATGTGTTTATATCTTTGTGTTTTGATCTATAGAGGTAAGTTCGATTAATCAACATATTTATTGATAAGATTAGTGATCCAATCGTGGCCTCGATATCAGTGGTGCGGTCATGTGCATGTATAATTTTAGGTTATTTTTTGAGTTTGGCTTAGAAGAAGAAAAATATAAATATGTCTCTTCACTTTAATAAAAAACTAGAGTAGTAAAAAATGTTACCAGGAATATAATATTTATTGTATTATATAACAAGCATTAAATGATCAATTGATGTTTCTAACCTCAAATGTACTAGCACAAGGATCGCATTTAACTCGCTTGAATGCGCGATTTCATGTAAGAGACGCATAGGATCGTCCATGGATGACGCATCAGCATGCAACTATGAGATCACTGAGTGCGAATTAATTAGCACTTATGCGACTCCTTATGTTTGCACTATTCAAGCATTTTGTTATCTGGGTATATATATATATATATATATATATATGTCCATACATATAACAAATGTTGACCGACACACTGACAGTGAACGACATCTGCTATTAAAAAGCATAATAATAATAATAACTATAAAAATAATAATATTGAATTAAATATCACTAGTAAATTAATTAATCTACAATATTTAGAAACTGATACAGTTGACACAGAATTTTATGTTTATATATATTTTTCTCAATATTTTCCATTCTAGAAAACCAATCTCGAAAAATTTGCTTTATTGATTACAAATTTTATAAATATGAAGAAATTGTTAAATAATTATATTTTAAAAGCAACTTTTTTTTGTACATTTCATATCATACATTTTTAAATTAATATTATAAACTTTTATCAAAGTGTTTTTTAATTTTAAACTTATACGTGTACTATAAATTTTAACCCAAATCTTTTATTTGAAATTTATTTTATTATAACTAAATCTTTAATAAATTTGGATAAAATGTCATTTAATGTTGAAAGTATGCCCTGGGTATCGGTCACCGTACCCGTTACTTTACATGTTGGCTTTGCAACTAATAGTTTTTCATTTAATGGTGTTGTAATTAATTTCCATAGTGAATTAAAGAAATTTTAAAGGCGATCAAGTATTTACCTATTTTTTAAAAATAAAATTTAAAACAAATTTATTTAAAAATTATATACATTTTTCCATTACCATATATCATATTGAATAATAATTAAATTAAATAGTTTTAAACATAATAATAATTGTTAAATGGTCATTTTAGCCAAAATACAGTATATTAAAAATTTTATGGGAAAAATTTAATTAATGTAGAGGTTACATTATTATTTTTTTAAAGAAAAATTATCATACAAAATATTTTTTTTTAAATTTTTTATGACTTACACACTGACAAAAAAATTTATTTCATTCAAATAATCGTTTACTTGACTTTTGTCAAATAAATATTTACTTCAACCAAATAATTTTTGTTTTAATAAACTGAAATCAATAAATTTCTGTATTTGAAACAAATACCATCTCAAATAATAATTATTTGATACAAATAAATATTTATTTGATAATAGTCAAGTTAACCGATTATTTGAATCAAATAAATTTTTTTTCAGTGCAGTTAAATACTATGTAAATAAACTGAAAAATTTTAGAAATAAATTTTTTTTATATGAATAAATTTAAAAAATATAGTTTTACCTGAATTAATACATTACCTATATAAGAACCTCATCTTCATTGTCGTTAAGAAATTATAAACAATTGATGTAGTTCATCAGTTGGATAATCCTTTCGTATACACAATTTTTGAGCACTGAAATTATTTTAAAATAAAAAATATAAAAATCTTTTATTATAAAAAATTTATTTATTATAAATAAATAAAATAAATAAAATAAATAAATATTTGTGACGTGCTTTAAAAAAGGGACCTAAGATGCAAAAAATTATAGGTTATGTTTTGAAATTTTTAAGTGAAAATAACACAAAGTAGATTCATTACATCCAAAGTATTCAATAAAAATTTATTTTTAATTTATGTAAATAAAAAGAAAATTTAATCAAAGCAAAATTATCGTAAATATAACCTATAATTCGTTTGTTTCTATAAGGTCCCTTATTCATCAAAGCGCATCATATTTATGTTTATTTTTTTTCTTTTGATTAAATCATAAATTAATCATGTTTATACGCAAGGTAAAACGAAAGAATAACATTTTGTAAAATGAAATAACATTTATTGAATTGAGACAGTGACACCTAACAGTTGCTCTATATCAGCTACTTATTTACTTACAATCTTAGAGGTAATCACAGCAACAATATTATCTCATTATTCACAACACTTACATACAGATTACTGCCGCATTTTGTATTTATATATATATTTTTTTTAGTCTCGTGTTAATAATTCATTTATAATCGTACACGGTATTGTATTGTATTGGTATTTATTTTTTTTTCCATATTAATCGCTATTACAGTATGAGAAATAAGTCGGTGCTCATTTTCAACGTAGAAAGAAATCTCAGTGTAAAGTATATTATATATCAATAATTTTTTATTTACTTAAATTTTTTTTTTTTCAAAACAAAAATCTATGTATTTTCTGTATAAATGACTATTTTTTTATGATATATAAATAATAGAATGTTAGAAAAAAAAAATTTAATGATCTCTTCATTGATTATACGAATTTGAAGTCAGATATAAAAAAAATTCAAAATGTCGGATCCAATATTGGCGAAGAACTTTTTAGAAAATTGTTTAATTTTTCTAAATTTGGTATCTGGGAATTTTTGTTGTCGCTATAGTTATGAATTTGAAATTAGTTTTCAAAAATCCAAAATCTGTTTTATAAAAATTAAAAAAAAGTTTTAAATTTATTTTCAATTTTTGATAACTAACTTTAAAATCCATAATTAAGGACTCAAAAAATTTCTATGTAAGAATCAAATTCTTTTATCTTCCATATATAGAAACATTGGAAGTTTTTATTAAAATTGAAAAATAATATTTAAAAATTTTGCAAAAATTATAAAAAAAAAATAATTAAATAAACTATACAATTTTTTTTGCAACAAAAAAAAAACTAAATCTTTAAGACTTATTTTTTTTTAAAAAACATCGAAATAAATATATAAATGGTTGTAGATGATTTAGTAGCATAATGGAGCGTGAAAAAATCGCTAAAGAGGGTATCCGAAGAAACTCTTATACGTGCATCGATTATGTGTCTGCCAAGCGCATAAAATCGAATCCTTTTACTTTCTTTGACGAGAGAGAATATATATATATATATAAGGGGGAAAAAAATAAAATAAAACCCAAAAAAAAAGAAAAAAAAATGAGAAAAAGAGGTCCAATAGGAAAATTGTCAATTGCATTTGAAGAGAGAGGGACAGAGAGAGAAAGAGAGAGAGAGAGAGAGAGAGAGATGAATACACGCTAGGATAATTTACGTAATGAATGTCGCACAAAAGCCCTTTCTAATTATCGCGGTTAACGAGACGTTAACGCGTCGACTGTATGGAAAGGGGAGGGGGGAAAGGGGTGGTTTGAAATTAAGTACATGTCTTCATCTGAAATTCTCGGTGAGCTGGTGCTCAAGGAGCCGAAGGCAAAGATGCGACACTCTCAAGATCTTCGCCAAATAGTTTCTCAACATGAACTTCTCGCATTTCCCTTTCAACCGCACTAAAATTATTCCCGTCAAAGAAATTATATATAAATGTATATATATTCTAACACTTTACTTGGGCGACAAATATCATGTTAAAAAATTACGTATTATTAATTTAATTTCAAATTTTGTCTTATGTTGACATTTATTATATGCGTTAAATTATTACTGAAACTATTTATTTTTTATTACTATATTATTATTTAGTAATAATAATAATAGAGTAATTTTTATTAATTATTATTTTACATTGTAAAATTAAAATTTTCTTTACTTTTATTTGTTAATTTTTTTGACTAATTGTAATGTAATTTTCTTTTGTTGGTGATTAAGTAGAAAAATCGCTAAATTATAAATTTTCTTGTGCAATATTGAATTTATTTGATGATAGATCGATAGCTCGATACTAAAACAACAATATTTCGATATATATCGATTGTCCTGTATCGATAAATCGATACATCGATTTCTATTTAAATTGTATCGATAGTTAGATATTATCGAATCGATAGTTTAATACTAAGGTAACAATATGTCGATAGATCGACAGAATATCGATAAGTCGATATTGAAAGTATCGATGAATCGATAGTAAATTATCAAAAAGTTGATATTTTAAGTATATCGATACTGCGATAATAATGTTCCCATAACAATTTATCGATGTATCAACATTATAGTATCGATAAGTCGATATTTATCGATATTTGTAATGTCGATATATCGATAAATTGTTATGGAAATATTATTATCACAGTATCAATAGTTAAATAATAAAATAACAATATATCGATATATTATTGTCAGTCTTATATCGATAAGTCGATACTTGAACGACTGATTGATAGTAAAATATCGATATTTGAAGTATCGAAACATCGACAATAAAGTAATATTGATATGAACTAATCGATAATTGGATTTTTAAATAATATATCAATATATCGATATTGCAGTATCGAGAAGTCGATATTTAAAGTATCGATAGATCGATAGTAAATTTTTGATAACTCGATATTTATAAAAACGATACATCGATAGTAAATTATCAATATATCGATATCTGAAGTATCGATATATCGATAATATAGTATCGATATGGACTAATCGATAATTCGATTGAAATGTAACAAAATAACGACATTACAGTATCGATAAGTCGAAAATTAAAGTATCGATAGATCGATATTAACAAATTGATAAATAAATAGGAGCGATAATAATATATCGATATAAAAAGTATCAAAAATAAAAAAGATCGATTAATCGATATTGAAGTATCGATAGATCGATATTAAAGTATCCATAATGATTCAATATATCGATGAAAAATTTTCGATATATCGACGTGAAATTTATCGATATATCGTTATGATAAATATATCGTTAAATGAATAGAAATTTTTTTTTTTTTTTGAAATAAATTAAACAAAAATAGAAAAATAAAACGTAAAATATAATAGACGCATTTTTTTCTTTTTATTATATTTATACACTGAGAATTTCTTTCGACATTTTTTTAAAAGAGCGCGGTGCGCATTTTTTCAACACAACAATATCGGTTTTTTTTTTTTGTATATAATTATATATTCTATATCGGCTGTGACAAAAGGACGAATTTTATAGTCGTCACCTACATTTATTACAGTGATTGCGTACGGCTATATATAACCATTGGCATTAATGTGTGATAAAGCTTTCTCTATGATGCATCTGTGTGTGTCGGTATAATTGCATATGACATGAAAGTGATTGGATTATGGCTCTGTCAATCTATTAATAATTGCTGCGGGTAAACTTTGGAATATTTTATGTATGCAGATCTCGGAATTTTCTTGATTCAACAAAACGATAAAATATATATATACATGCGTAAATATCAAAAAAAAATTCAAATAACTCAAATTATACAATAACACTTATTTTTATATAAAAAATAACTTATTATCTAATTTCAACAAAATTTTAAAAAATATACATTTTAAAAATGAATAAATTATTTTCGAGAATAATTATGTTTTATAAATGCAAAAAATTTATTCATGTCACAATTTTTATTGCATATATAGAATTTGAAAAAATTCGTTTTTGAAATTAAAATTTTTTATCTTTAAATTATTTTTTTTTTCTAAAAATCTAAACCGTTTTGTAATTTTATTTTAGTTTATCAAAATATATTTTATTTGAAACTATATAATATACAAATTATTGAAATTATAAAAAAACAACATTTTTTTTTTTTGTACATATTTGAAAAAAAATCTGTTAACAATGCGCGGACTAGCGTCATTTTTTTCACGTGCGTTTTTAAATATATTTTTAAAAAATCGACCCTAGTCCGATTTCAAATTTTTATGCTGCTGTTAAAATTAAAATTCTGTCAATTTCAATAATAATTCCGAGATCTGTTAACGACGACGACGACGGCTCAATAAGCAAACCTGTGCTATGTAGTGTTTAATAATTCTGTTATAAGCGAAGAAACGATGCGTATAAATGTAGGCTCGGATCGTTTATTCGTGATGATATATAAATTGATTGGTACCGTTTGCTTCTCGAGTGACTAATTCGTTTTGTCATGTAGGAAAAACATTGAATACACATTAAATTTATGTATATAATCTACATATACATAGTCCTTATTTTACGATATCTTAAAATTTTTCATCAAAAATTTATCGATTCGAAATTAATATAAATATATTATATTATAATTATAATAATAATAATATTATTATAATAAATTGGTAATAAATTTCAAATCAATAATTCGATATATATATTTTTAATAAAAAAAAGATTCTTATAGAGAAAAATTGGTAGAATTTTAAAAATTCGTAAATTAAGGACTATATTTTTAATGCAAACGTATGTCCAAATATTAATCCGCTTTTTTTTTATTTACAATTAGCAAATGCTTCTAATTTACACTATCAACTAACAAGAGTAACAATTGTACTATTTTACAATATTTTTTACACAAAAGATTTCTGAGAAAGCGTCAACGACTTTTCTCCTATATACTCATTCATAATATATATATATATATATATATATATTTTATATATATTCGAAAAGAAAAATTCGAAAGTGACGCTTTATTACTTTTTTTTTTCTTCTTTTTCGAAATAATTACCTTCTTTTGACTCTTTGATTGCGCTTACGCAATTAATGAATATACAAGTTATGTAAGGGCAGCATTGGTCTAGTTTCATTTCTTTTTTTTTTAAGTCCATAATAAATATACCTAGTAATATCGATTTGAAAATATCGATATTGTGCGATATATATCAAAATCGATTTGTATATATTGACTTGTAGTTCCGATCGAATGAATATTGAAAATTTGGACATTGTAATATTTATAAATGTGCGAAAAAAAATTAATTATGTTGTAATTCCAATATTGTATGAACGGACCTTAATTGTACCCGCAGAAAAATTTTTCTTTGAAACAAAGAAATATATTTCTTTGGATTTCGATTAGAGATTTTTATTGTGAACGTACCTTAATTACAGAAAAATATTTCTTTAAATATTTCTTTGATTTAAAGAAACATTTTTTAAAGAATATGCAATATCAAATATTTTATTTTAAAACCCACCAAAATTGTTACAATGTCCAAATATTCCATTCTCATCGAATCGAAGAAGTCACGAAATTTTTAAGTTTACCATTTCAATACAGATAATAAAATATAAATTAAAAAAAAAAATCAATCCTCCCGAGAAGTGAAAAAAAATTCAAACAATTCTTTTCTTTTTATCGTTAAAGTATAACACCAGTTTTACATGTTTGTTTAGTATTTCTATAAAGATAACATAACCTCAAAAAAAATATAGTTTTTGTTTAGAAATAGTAAAAAGAAAATTATTTCCCATGACGATCCAAATATTTGTAAAAATATTTTCAACTTGTAAATTGCGCGATAGAAAGAAAAATATTTTGATAATTTTTTTATTTTTTTTTTGTATTATTTTGGTTCACGAGGGAATTGCATGGGTCGCCATATCTTGTGGAGAAGCGCGATGGCCGACGAGGAGAAAATCACCCTCGACATTGCTTGCTATCAACCCCCTTGCATTCGCAAATGTCCCTCCCCATTCCGAAAACGCGCGCTTGAGGCTCATCCTTCGAGAGAGAGATAGAGAGAGAGAGTCTTTCCCGACAGGAAGCCTCGCGAGAATATTCTTGACGGAGAATTCTTGGGTATCTACGAATCACCCTCAATTACCATATAGCGCTCTCCCTCCCCCTCTCTCTGTCTCTCTATCTCTCTCCCATCAGATTCACTGGGAGGAATCGATCTTTTCGTCTCTTGACTGTGACTTGTGCTTTTCCTCAATTCATCGACTATGCATAATGGAAAAGGATGGAATCGCGAGGGTCGCTATTATTCCACAAAGAATAATTTACGATGGGTTCAAAAAAAAAAAAAAAAAAATGAAATAAAAAACACTACAATTTATGTAAATCCGAAAAAATTGATACTTTTTTTAATTTCGAATTATTCATTATTAGTTGTTTTTTCTTTTTGGTTTAATAATATATATATTTTTTTTTTTGAATAAAAATTTTAATAAGGAGAATTTTTTTTAAATGATTTATAAAATAAATAAAGTCTTGTGGATAAGTAATAGAGGTTATGTCACTCCGAACGCTTCATAATTGGTTGATAATATTTCCAGGAATATTAGTTGGCCAATCAGAAAATTTTATCATATTGTCAACCCAACCTTGCTTATTCTGTACTATTTACTTTAATTAAGCCCTAAGTACAATAGTTACAAGAACTTTAAACTATTGTACATTGCACAATAGTTTCGCAAAAGTGAAATGAGTTAGAAAAAGATAGAGATATATTCGTATCCTTTTCTATCTCATGCAGCACGTTCGATTGGTTTCCATTGTCCCCACTCGCCATTTGTCATAATTCTCAATTTTAACTACCGCACCCTGCTCTAGTAAAAATTTAGTAACTTTTTTGTTAAAATTAAAAATTACTATATAAAGTTACTAAATTTTTACTAGAGCAGAGTGCGGTAGTTGACGATAATTATATGACAAATGGCGAGTGGGGACAATGGAAACCAACCGTTTGCGAAACTATTGTGCGTTGGCCTTTACTGTGACAGTGCAAATTCGAGGTTATGTTATGCTTAGTAAAAGTCCATTGTGGCAAAATGTTACCGTTTTTAATTACTATTAATTGATAATAATTACTAATATTATTATTAAAAGTACTAAAATTGCATATTTAATCATCTGATTTAATTTTGAAAGAAAATTTTTGATATTTATGATACGCACCTACAGTTAAAACAATAATTCGATTTGAAACATATAAATAATCTGAATTCTGTCAAGAAATTCCAAAAACATAACCTAGAAGTAAAATTCTAAATCTCTGTAATATGTTATTTCCGTAATAATTCTACTTTTGTAGTACACGCAAAGCTGAGTTCACAATAGGCACCTTATGACAAGAACTGCACAATATAACATTATTATAAATTAATTTCTAAAACTATATCCATAATAGTCTCTTTTTATGACTTTATGTTAAACATAACATAAGAAAATAATAAATTTTTATTGTATTTTTATTTCAACATAAGAACTAAAAAAAAGACGTATCCTAATGAATTTTATTGTATACGTTATTTTATAACATAACAGGTTGGTTTTTATTGTCACCCCCTCGTCATTTGTCATAATTCTCGTCAACTACTGCACCCTGCTGTAGTGAAAATTTAGTAACTTTATTGTTAAAATTAAAAGTTACTAAATTTTCACTATAGAGCAAGGTGCGGTAGTTAATGCGAGAATTATGACAAATGGCGAGTGGGGATGATGGAAACCGAAAAGCCTATTGTGAACACAGCCTAATATATTTGGTTTCGCGAACGCAACATAACCTAAAATTCGTAATGTGTTAGTACTTTCAGTTCAAAATACTGCAAAAAAATTATTTAACTGGCATTCAAAGTGCTAAAAGTACAGAAATTTTTTTTTATTTTTCTTCCGATTAAAATTATTTTCAATACCACAAGGTTCACATCATCATAATACGAAATATAATATTTAATTCGAACTAAAACATATTATTACTAAAGTGCGGCAACCTAGATTTAGTCAAATCAATTATTGTAATTTTTAGATTTAGGAGTATTTTTTTACGAAATGGCATGTCCCGTTATGTTTCCAAATAAATAATTTTTTTTATCCCCTATCAAAATCGCTCTTTAAATTCCGTTAATTTTGTCTATACGGGATAATTATAACGTTAAAAAAAGATAATTAATAAATAAAATAATAATAAATAAAAATAGTTATTTTTCAATAGTTTGAATCGTCAAGGGAACATTTTTCGAGAGAGGATAATCAGAGACCCCTGGCTAAACACTCATCGAACTAAAAAAAATTGTAGTTAGAAAGTCTCTCACTGTCTCGCCAGGGTTAGAAACAGAAAAAAAACCAATAAATTCCTATATGAAAAGTATAAAATGAAATGTTTATGTTTATGAAAAGTATAAAACGGATTTTTTTCTGTGTATATCAAGATTTACCCTGCTTGATCCGGGTTGTCATCGTCTATACAAGGATTTCTAGTTTTGGTCTTTTATATAAGTATATCACAATTGGGCAACGACTCAATGTGCAAAAAAAGTTGCCCAAAAATCAATGACATTTTTTTTTTTTTCTCATAACAGGGAACTATTACTAGATCAATAAATGAAAAATTCTTTATATATTCGTATATATATGTGTGTGTGTATAGAAAAAAATGAAGGAATGTAAAGTCAATTCTTTGGGTTGTCCCGGAAAAAATGAAATAAATATAGCGAAGGCTAGTTTCGGTTCTTTTCGTTGCGGTTTTCTTTTCATTTTTTTTTTTTTTTTTTTTGATGATATTCACTCACTGGCGTCAGAATTGTGCACCGGTGTTGTTGCAGGGGTGTTGCTTGTAGTTTGATGATGTTGCGCAACTTGTGTTGGTATCCCGAGTGAGGCGAGTAGCGGTCGCGATACAGCTGATGATGCCGGAGGTGGCGGTGGCGGGCTCTCCTGGCCAACGAGCAAACTCGCCGGCGGGAACCCGAAGAGCTGGGATCACTGAAGCCTCGGCCAATAATTACCCGTGAGGTCTGGTGTCTGAGAGGGAATCTGCACTGGCACTGAGACACCTGCTGATATCACACCTGTAACATAAGAATGTTGGAATTTTCATTTTTTTTCTGCTCTCCTTCTTTGGGTAAGTGACAGTATTTCCAATGGTAATTAAATATATTCTTCATTTTTATTTCTATTTTTGCCTCTAAATATAACCCTATAGGTACAAGGAAATATTGACTGAAGGATTACCATATTATTTGAAAAAACTATAAGGATAGGTTGGGAACAGAAAACTATAGCGAGAATTAGATGTGGAAATATAGAAAGAACCAATAAATATTGGGCAAATGAAAGTGTATGGATTTGTAGAATATGTGAAAAAGGCTGGTGATTCTTTTAATCATTTGTTCAAAGAATGTTTAGGTACTAATAATTTAACTACGGATGTAAATATTGACAAGGTTAATTTATATATGATTGGATGTAATGATAAATATGATAAAAAAAATAGTAAAAGGTGTATATAATATAGATAAAATACTTAAAAGTATACGGAGAAAACAGGGTAATAAAAACAAAGTAAAAAATGATAGGGAGTTTGGTATAATTCTTTGACAGCATGGGAAAAATACTCGAATTCTATGCAAAAAGGAAATTTTGTATATTTTCCTTATTCATGTCAAATGTTGTAATATATGCATTAAGATATAACGTATTATTATAGAATTATTTCTCTTTTATTTTTTCCCTGGTGTAATTATTTTCATTTATATGTGTTTTTAAATTCTTATTCCCACATATGATATGATTAAACGGTTATTTTTAAACATCAAGGTTCGTGTAATGTCATACAATATTTATTTATTTTTTTACTTTAAATTAATCAAAATTATAATTTTTAATGTACCTAATTGTAATATTTACTTAATAACATTCATTATTTTTCATCAAAAATTTTTTATCGACAAAATCCTCCGTCAGACGAGAGTCAATAATATACTATATAAGTAGATGATAACCCATATACATTTTGATTTTTGTTTTAGATCACCCAGACGTGAGATTTCATGTACACTTAAAATTTTTTTTACAAATACTTGTATATATATGATAAAGATGATGGTTTAATTTAATTTAATGTACGAGTCATATTTTGTTAGAAAAAAAATCCGGAAAATCGGCCTGTTTTTTCCCTTGTCATATATATATAGTATATAGACTTCCTCCTTAATGGAGAAGAAGAATTAACATTTTCTGAATTATAATAAATTGCTTAGACTATGTCAAATAACACAGGCACACAAAAAATAAAAAGTAGTTTGGCCGAGATACTACACTATAGTCTATTTCCTTGTATTTTTTCCCGCTGAATCCGAATCTGAAGTCAGAATTGTCAGATTGGTTTTTATTTTTGAGATAAACTCAAAAAAATGCTCAGAAAGAAAAATAAAATCAAAAAAAGTGAATAAATTTTTGAATAACACTGAGCTAGTGTAATTCCATGTATTTTTTGCCACTGAATCCGAATCCAAAGTCAGAATTGTTAGATTTGCTCAAAGTTTTGAGATAATTGCAAAAAACTCAAAAAACTTAAAATCAGTTTTTAGAATTATCTTCAAAATTTGAGCCAATCTGGCAATTCTGACTTCGAATTCGGATTCAGCAGGAGAAAACACAAAGAAATACACTATCTTAGTGTTTCGGCAAAAAAAATGTCTTTGAGCTAATCGCCAAAAACTGATAAAATCCTGAATTAGGGTCACAGATAATTCTCTCTGCCGAAACACTATAAGATATTGTATTTCTTTGTGTTTTTTCCTGCTGAATCCGAATTCGAAGTCAGAATTGCCAGATTGGCTCAAATTTTGAAGATAATTCCAAAAACTAATTTTAAGTTTTTTGAGTTATTTTGTTGAGAATAATTTTGACATCAGAAAAAGGATTACAGTTTCTATAACTAAAATAAATATTATAAAATTAGACTCATGAATAATGTTCTAAAAATCATTAGTTTAGAACAGGGTTGCTACGGTCAGGGAAAATCTGGATTTTTTTTCCAGTCAGAAAAAACCTGTAAAAATCAGGGAATTTTAAAATTTTGAAACCGTGGCAACCCTGTAGAATTTTCATTTTTTCAAATTTTATTTCATATTTTGTTCATTGTTTTTAAGCCAAATTTTTATTTTATTAATTTGCAGAATTTCCATTAAACCGATTTTCTACATTATAGAATTTTTATATATAACCGAAAATTTACTTTACATAAATTTTTATTTGTTTGAATTATTCTTTGATTGAATTTTCATATAGTACAGAATTTCTACATTCAGAAAAAAGATATATGTTTGAACCAAATGTATATACCATTTTTTTATATTTACCGAATTTTTTGGTTAGTTCAAACAAAATTTGTTTAATTCAAATAAATATTTATTTAATCTAAATAACTGTTTGGTTTATTTTAATAAATTTTTTGAACAAAGAAATAATTACATTGAGCTAAATAAACGTTTGGTTTATGCATAACCAAATGTTTGGTTAACTGTATTATATCAATGCATTTATTTTGTTGATTTAACCAAAATTTGGTTGCTTCAAACGAATTTTTTTCTGAGTGTAGTCTGATAGAATTTTCATTTGTCTGAAATTGCAAATTACCAAACAAATAATCGACAGAAAAATTTCAATGCGATTTTTAAATGTTTTTAACATTCAATTATAACCAATTACAATTTTTTGGATAATTTTTGATTGGTTGATTTTAAAAATCGAGCCGAAATCTTACTGTCAATATATTGTTTGTTCGGCCAATTTGAAATTTCGGACAAATGAAAATTCTATCAACTATAGAAATTCTGCTTCAAATAAAAATTCTGTAATACAGAAAATCATTTTAATTAAAATTCTGCAAAATATAATGATTAGAACAAATAAAAATTCAGCTCAATGAAAATTCTGCGTCTAATAAAATATTCGAGGGGGAATTTACTATAGTTAAAAACGTGTACACTTTACTACCGGTATTACACCTCATATTACCCTTATTACTAAGTATTACACGTTATTACAGAGTATTACACATTATTACAGAGATATTACAGAGTTTTTTGCGTTATTACAGCACTGTAGTAACACAGAAAATTAAAAGGCATTAAAATAAGCTGCAACGCTTCTCATTTTAATCCAATTTTGCTTATTTTAATCCATTTTGGTATTAAAATAAGCAAAATTGGATTAAAATAAGAAGCGTTGCAGCTTATTTTAAAGCCTTTTGATTTTCTGTGAACGCATTATTACACGGTATTACACGTTATTACGCAAGTATTACAGGAAGAGTGTACACTTGACTATACCTGAGTAAATTCCCCTTCGAAAATATTATATTAAATGAAAATTATAACAAATGTTTTTTAGAATTTATTCATGCATATCTAAAATTTAGACGTATTAAAAGTTTTAGTTTTTAGAATATATTAAAGTGGATACGATTTGAAATAATCCGCTGAAATATATTTTAGAGATTCTATATATAGGAATCGCCGTAAGTTTTTACTATTCTAGAGAAACATATATTGCTGTTCCAGATAAAGATTTTTTTCCGTGTACAAAACAATTAATATAACATATTCCATTTAAATCTATAGGCGCAGTAAATCTTTATTCCTATAGGATGTTTCAAAAATATTCCAAAATTTGTGCTATGACGGGTAAAATTAAAATTGTTAACGATCCAATAACTCAATTTTTACATTCTTTGAGAAGGTATTTAAAAAAAGCTCAGTAATTGAAAAATCAGAAAATGGATTCACTCCCTCTCTCTCTCTCTCTAAAATCTCGACGTAGATATATACATGAAGATTGGCGAGGGAAAGTTATATGTTGCAAGTATATACTTCACGTAAAGCGATTATGATGGATAATGCGACACGTTGGTCGTCGTCGTCGGCGCGTTCACCTATAAGAAGGAAATCGTTTCTCTGCATGTGTATATGTTGTAGCTTGGTGATAACTTGTGCAGAAACCGTAGATAGTGCGAGTGTAGTAGAATATATATATATATATATATATATATATATATATAGTAGAGGTTGTGTATGGTCCCCTATTTCCTCCCCCTTTGGGTTCGCACGTTATTGAGCGCTCGCCCAGCCGAGGCGAGACCCAACCCATCCACATCCTCTGCTCACCCCGGCATAGTATCAGGAGAGATAGGATGAGAAAGGAGAGATGGGAATGGTTGTCCTCCCTGGCACATTGGGAGAGAGAGAGAGAGAGAGAGAGAGAGAGAGAGATCAGGACTGTATATACATATATACATCTATATGCAAAAGGGGAGAGAAAAAGAGTAGAATCGCGTGGTTCCAACCCCCTTTTTTTTTGGATTAACAGGGTCACTCCCTTACGGGATTATAGTCCAAAGTTTTTTTTTTCTCTTCATTCTTTTACAGCCCGGTTCCAAAAACCCAATTGTAAAACCGGCTTCTGAATATACATTAACGCAATTCTCCCCCTTGTCGATTACAATGGGAATTTCTATTTGCCACGCATCCTCATTGGAAATTACAGAGACCATCTAATTCTCAATTTTTTTGGGTGAAATAAGGCGAACGAGTGTGAAAAATTTCTTTTTTTTTAAAAGGGGAAATTATTTTTTTTTTTTAAACGTGTGCGTTTAAAGTTCACCCAAGTGTAGGAATCTCCTTATACAGCCCTGCGATGAAATGCGGAGAAACGATGAGGGAAGGGAGGGTATAAAAAAAAGAGAGAGAGAGAGAGATAGGAGAGAGACAGTAGAAAGAGGGTGCGAGAATCGAGAAAATGGAAAATTCAGCGGACTCTGTGTTGGAATGGAGAAAACCACGGGAACATTCAACTCTATGCCCCTCAACTTTTCGTTGCGATCCATCGCGTCGTTCTTCGATTCAGCCCACGGCGCCATGCGAGATTTGTTTTCAAATCCTTTTACAATTCAAACCCCGTCTCTTTTCTGCATATCTCTTTCTCGCTTTCTATGTAGATGGCGTGCAAATTCTCTCATGGATAATCTGTCTTGATTTTTCCTTTTTTTCGCATTCACACATCATTTGTATATATATATATCTATATAGACAATGTAAAATCTTTTTTTCGAACATTTTTTTATAATTTCTAAGAGCGAAATCCAATTCTAAAGTTTTTTGCAATAAGTGCACAAAATCACCTTTTTGTCACTAGAATAAAAAACAATTGTTTTCCTAACTAGGGCGAAAAATGATTGTTTTTGCAACTAGTGAGCAAAATTATCTTTTTGTTACTAGGACACAAAACGATTCTTTTTTTTTAACTAGAACAAGAAATGATCGTATTTGGCACTAGGGCGAAAAATGATTGTTTTTGCAACTAGTGCGGAAAATCATATTTTCCTAACTAAAGCGGAAAATAGTCGTTTTTGCAACTAGTGCGCAAAATGATCTTTTTGTCACTAGGATGCAAGACGTTTCTTTTTCTAACTAGGACGAGAAATGATCTTATTTGTCACTAGGGCGAAAAATGATGGTTTTTGCAACTAGTGCGCAAAATTATCTTTTTGTTACTAGGACACAAAACGATTCTTTTTTTTAACTAGAACAAGAAATGATCGTATTTGGCACTAGGACGAAAAATGATTGTTTTTGCAACTAGTGCGGAAAATCATATTTTCCTAACTAAAGCGGAAAATAGTCGTTTTTGCATTTAGTGCGCAAAATGATCTTTTTGTCACTAGGATGCAAGACGGTTCTTTTTCTAACTAGGACGAGATATGATCTTATTTGTTACTAGGGCGAAAAATGATGGTTTTTGCAACTAGTGCGCAAAATTACATTTTTCTAACTAGAGCGGAAAATGGTATTTCCTGGAACTAGTGCGCAAAATGATCTTTTTCTAACTAAAACGAAAAATGATCGTTTGTGCAACTAGTACACAAAAGGATCTTTTTTCTCACGAGGGCGCAAAATTTTTTTTAGAATATTTTACATACTTAAATTCAGTATGTAATAATTTAAAAATTAAAATATATTCTTGATACTTAGTACATTATATTCTAAATGCTAATCTATACGAAATACTAAGAATATATTCTAATTTTAAGAATATTACTTACTGAATTTAAGTATAACATAAAATATTCTAAAATAGATCCCCAAGTATGCTATCAAAATATTTTTTTTTGGATTTGTAAAATGAATTTTCAAAATAAAACGTTGACAAATGTTCTTTCCTTATAGGACACAAAACGATTCTTTTTTTTAAGAACAAAAAATGATCGTATTTGGCACTAGGGCGAAAAATGATTGTTTTTGCAACTAGTGCGGAAAATCATATTTTCCTAACTAAAGGGGAAAATAGTCGTTTTTGCAACTAGTGCGCAAAATGATCTTTTTGTCACTAGGATGCAAAACGGTTCTTTTTCTAACTAGGACGAGAAATGATTTTATTTGTCACTAGGGCGAAAAATGATGGTTTTTGCAACTAGTGCGCAAAATTACATTTTTCGAACCAGAGCGGAAAATGAATTTTCAAAATAAAACGTTGACAAATGTTCTTTCCAAAAATATATAATTAGAGGTGAAATTTAAAAGAACTGCGACACATTTTTTTCTGCGAATCATTTAAACTGAATCGGCGTCTTTACGCGCTTTTTTTTTGTTCTCGCGCCAAAAGTGTTTCACTCCTCTTTAATCTTTAATCTCCTATATATATGCATTCGTGAATACTGATTCACGGAGGAAATGGAGTTTTGTTCAACCCCAACGCGCTGTGTCGAGTTGGGAAAACACGTTGATTCCAATACATATATATATATATATAATACGGACACGGTTTTCATAAATGCGTACACTGTGTTTTGTGTCCAGGTTTTGTTCCGCAGGAACAAACTTTCAACAACCCAATTCTAATTTGACTTTATATGTTCTCTCTTTCTCTCTCTCTCTCTCTCTTTCTGTTTTCTAGCTTCGTGTATTTTGCACTATAATTTTTTTTTCTCTCTCTCTCTCTTTTTTTCTGTCACACTTTTTGCAATTTCTATCTCTGTCGCGCGTATACACGAACGTTATATTTGGAAGCAGTAAGTTTATAATGACCCACCTGTTTTCATCCGGAGCTGTACATGATATGTAAACGAACCTCGCGCTTTTCTATGAGATGCACAAGCATTCGCTTTTATGTATATATATATGTACTGTATAGCATTGCAATTATATGCGTGTCAGTATATAATCGTTTGCAATTTACAATACAAACACATCCAACAATTTAATCTAATTTGTATATGAACTACGTCCTTTTTCGATGTTTATTTTTCTATGACATCACTTTTTGGAAATCGTACCATGCATCTAATATTGGGATAAATTAATTGACGCTTTGGAAGTGTCCAAGTTTCATTTTATCCCGGACTATTTTTCCAAAAACAATTATATATTCCGATAGCAATATATGCAAAATTAAAAAATTATTGCCTCCTCATTTCTGATGAATTGTATATTGAAAAGAATCCAGTTATTCTCTCTAAAGAATAATTTACAGTATACGACGGGTCTTCATTTGATGATGTCCAATTAAAAATTAATTCACTGCCATGCATAAAAGGGGTTGGGTTATAGAATATAGAGAAAGACCTCAAAAAAAAAAAAAAATGGGGTGACGAACAAAGACGGATGCCAGAAATAACTATATATATATATATGGGGACTCACCAGTTGCGGTTGAGGTCGTGGGTTGATAGGGTGCTCCGCCTGGTCCTGCTGGCTGACCCCCTGGCGTAGTGGGGGTTCCACCATGGGAGGTTGGTATTCCACGATGAGTTTGTGAATGCGCAGCCGTACTATGTGCATGTGAGTAAGATTGCGTAAGGGAATGTAGAGGCTCGTGAAAAACGTATGCGGGATAACCTTCAGCCCTTTGTTGAAGGCAGCTACCACCCATTGACCCGCCCAAACTGCTCGACATTGAACTGAAACAAAAAAAAAAAAATTCTTCTTTACCAAAAAAAAAAATGAGATGTTCTCAAAAATTTGTAAATTAAAAAATTTTAAACACACAGCAACAAAAAATCTGTGTAATTGTGAATCGGTTAAGTTAATTTTTTTTTAATAATGTTTTGTCTATGGCTTGTGCGTTTACCTGTAAGAGTCGGGCAGAGTGGCAATCGGCTGTGGAATGGAGGAGTACCTAACCAAATCAAAATCCAAAATCAAAAACTTTACCAATTCACAAAAGGAAGATCAGTATAGGCGTCTTTTTGAAGGTTTTTTTGGGGTTATTTTATTTTTTTTTTTTGTTTTATGGAATTATTCTATATAGTTACCTGTATGTGTCGGGCATGGTGGCAATTGGCTGTGGAATAGAGGAGTACATTGCATTGAAGCCTGCATTCAGTGGTAGCCTTGGCGTCGATGGCGTTGCTGCAGGAGGCGCTGAACCTGTACTACTACCTCCGGTACCACCACCAACCACCTGATCCACTGCTGCTCTTCTTTGATTACGTAATTTTTCCTCCCGTCGCCATTTCGCCCTGCGATTACTAAACCAGACCTGTAGGAAAAAAAGAAAAATATTTGTTATTAAATCTATATCAAGTTTTATGCGGTTTTAAGGAGGCAATTGCACAAAAGCATTCATACATGGATTTTCGGTCGTACTAGGAAAGTTTTCGAATCAAGAAGCTTTTCTTCAAAAAGGTGGTAATAATTAAAGATTTGGAAAGTAAATCCAAAATCTTTTGTGATCATCTAATTATGTTTTCAGATTCATCGAGTTGTATACTTTCTGTTACAAGTTTGCTTCAATTAGATTATCATCCGTAGATGAAAATTTTCATCCGTTTTTCAGATTATCCCGCGACTAAAAGAAGAAGAATGAACAATTTTAGAAGCCCGTGGCTATATGCAGAGTGCTCGAGGGACTGTCCTGTCCGGCAAGGGATGACTATACGAGAGCATCAATTAGACGTAATTTCATAACAGCCGGGACGAGCTGGGAAAATGCAATTTCACCTCTATTTTACTCTTGGAAATGAATTATTAAGAGGGAAAAAAAATTTCCCTTATACTTTAGGAGTGCTTCTAATTTTTACTTTCTTCATGTTGGCTATTGTTATCTTCGTATACAATATATAATCGTTTTCATCATATAGAGAATTTTCTAAAATCTCCTCCAATATTTTCGAAACACCGCCTGGAGGTAAAGATAATGTTTGCAAATTTTGAATAGTCTTCCATTGTCATTGAGAATCTCCATAAGGTTCAAAATTCGATAAGGGACTTGGATTGTTTTTATCCTCCAAAATGTCATCAAAGAGAAATTCTAAATAGTTTCGGAATATCGACGAAAAATATGGCTACGGAATATTTTGAATCGTCTTCCATTCTCCAAATGTCATATCAAATTCTAAAATCTTCAGTTTCGCAATGTCGAAAAGAGACAAAGATCGAGGAATATTTGAATCGTTTTCATTCTCTAGAATGTCATCATCAAAGAATTCTAAAATACGAAATATCGCCGAGAGACAAAGATGATCCAAATGGTTCTTTGCTTATACTGTATTCCAGTTTCTCCAAATGTCAACAAAGGGGAATTCTAAAATCTCCTTTAGTTTAGGAAATATTTGGATTGTTTTTGTTCTCCGAAATGTCATGAAAGGGTATAGTTCCAAAATCTCCTTCAGTTTCGGAATATCGTCGGGATAAAGTCTTCCATATTCTCTAAATGTATATCACCAAAGAAAAATTCTAAAATCCTCCTTTAGTTTCAAAATGTCAACAAAGATCCAGGATTGGATTCGGATTGTTTTTTTTATTCTCCAAAAATGTCATCAGAGAGAAATTCCAAAATCTTCTTTAAGTTTCGAAATATCACCAAAAGTTAAAGATACAAATATTTGTAAATTTTAGAATCCATTTTCCATTCTCCAAATGTCATCAAAGGACAATTCCAAAATCCCCTTCAGTTTCGGGCAATGTCAAAACAAGACAAAGATCGGGATCGTTTTTCATTATCCAAAACATGAAGAATTTCAAATCTCCTTCACCAGAAGGCAATGATCGAGATTGTATATATTTTAAAATCGCGATGCGTGAGATCTGAATTAATAACAAGAATATAATGAACTTGGTGCCTAAATAGAATTATTTCTCGCGCGTTGAACGGGACACAAAAACCATATAGCGATGAGAATTGAGCAAGTAGGTGTGTATAGGTAGAAAAGCGGGAACGGCCAATCAGAGTACAACCTCCCGGGGGACGCCACGTTGCCATGGTAGCGCCCAAACTCCCTCTTAGGCCTTATACACTCTCTCTCCGATTCCCTCATGGCCCAACTCAGGGAGCTATATCGCGCCTCAACGTATTTTCAGTGCCATAACATACATACAATCGCGCGCGTGTATATATCGGGTACCATTCTATTCTCGGGTATAGGTCCATTCGTCCGAGAGAGAGACAGAGAGGAAGAGGAGGAGGAGGAGAAGGAGACAAGGACGAGGGACAAGAGGGCGCTTATCAGAGCAAAAGAGAGGAACCACCCTCTCTTCCTCTGTCTCGTGCTCACTCCCGGTTTCCTGCACTTAGCAAGATCAATACCAGCCAACGAGGCTTGAAAACATGCGTCAACATGGTCTTGCACTGTTTGTGCGTCGACATAACGCTGTGCTGTATACCCGAACCCAAACCTGCCACTTCGCTTACCCCTCGGCGATACCACCTCTCTCCCTCTCTCTCTCTCTCTCTCTCTCTCGGCCAAACAATGTCCGACAAGGCTGCGTACATATTAACTTATACCACCATATATATACACATATCAGCCCGAGAGAGCTCGACGAGAGCGGTGTATTAATTAAAATAATTCTCGGACACTGGACTGTGTACACTTTTGCACACACCACACGCGGGTGGAGGTGTGCAATGCACAAGGCATATATACAGCACCAATGCATGACCATCAGGACCACCATGCATGACGATGAACCGTTGACGTTTGTAGCGTGTATATGCAAGTCCTGACGAACTTCAATTTACATAGTATGTGTATGCCTGAAAATCTTGCTAATCGGGAAACCTGTTTCGCAACCTTGTTAGGAATATATCGTGTTGGTCCGCAACATAATCAATTCCACATAAACATTTTTTATATATACATCATAGAATGATTTTTATGTTGCAGACCTACAAAAAAAATTTCTTTTTTTAATTCCATTATTTTTGTTTAAAAAATCAAAAAAAATGTTTTAACCCCTTGGGTGTCGATGATGTATATACACGTCATGGAATAGGTGGGCTCAATGTGTCGATGACGTGTATTTGGGCCCAATAATAAGACGGAATTGGCCTAAAATTTGTTACTCGGGGGTTTTTGGGGTCGCTGATTCCGAATTTGATGTCAGAATTACAAAAATTCAAAATGAATACAATAATAATCACAGCCATACTATGCTATTTTGAATTTTCAAAATCTGACTTGAATATCGTAAACAGCGACGTTCAAAACCCCTGAGTAACAGATTTTAAGTAATTTTTAAATTTTTAGAAAATTATCTACCACATTGGTAACGCCATTTTGAATTTTTGAAATATGACTTTAGATTCGTAATCAGCGACCCCAAAAACCCCCGAGTAACAATTTTTAAGTATTTTTAAATCATTTTTGCCATTTTTTGAAAAATCGTTCGCCATATTGGCTCCGCCATTTTGAATTTTTAAAATCTGACTTTGGAATCGTAATAAGCGACCTTAAATACCATAGTATACGCACATTTGTACAAATTTTGGTCATTCAAAAATTTACTGACATTTTGGGCCCACTTATGCGAGATTTTGGCCTCGACTGTGAAGGGGTTAAGAAGTATATGGAACATAAAAATCATATCCCATATGTATATTTCTAATGAGAAATAAAAAAAATTATTTCGGACATATTTTTGATTTTAAGAGATTATAGAAAATATAATAATATTCCTGGAGATTTAAAAGTATTTTAACGGATCGGAAGTATTTTTCTGATTTCTTTAGAAATTTTATCGCAGTAAAGACACAGAAGGAAGGAATATTATGATTATATAATTTTCGACACAGATGAACAAAATTCTAAAATACTCATCCCAAAGCTTCATCAGAAACAGTTCTGATGAAGTTGACATGTATTGAAATAATATTAATAATAATAATAATAATAAAATTACTAATAATAAATCAGTGAAAATCATTACACATATTTTAATTTTCTCAAATGTTCCAGAGTAAATTTCTATTCAGAAGATTCCATAAAAATTTCCAAATATGGAAAACACTTTTTTGTTATATATTTATAAAATTGTTTGTGGAAACTTTTGTGAAATCTTCTATAAAAACTCTTGTGGATTATATAAAATCCACATTATAGAATCTCTTATTTTATATAGAATTCTATATGAAAAAAAATTCAATTTCCCCTGGAGTTATAAAAAAAAAGAAATTTGTAATTAATTGATTTTTAAAGCCGCTAATTTCGATCCTTATAGATCAGTTTTAAAAAATTCAAAATGGCGCATCCAATATGTGAAATATTAATTTTAAAAAGTTAGTGTGAATCTAAAGTCCTTTATTGCAGAAATTCAAAATGGCGGATCTAAAATGGCGTATAGGGTATTTTAATAAAACCTGCGGTTTTTAAGGATTTTTGAAGTCGATTACGAATCTGAAGTCTTTTTCAAAAATTCAATATTACGAACATTAATTAATTTTTGAAAAATATATAGAATTTTAACACAGTGTATTAAAATTCTGCTTCATCGAAATTTAATAAAATAAAAATCAGATTAAGTCTATAAATAAAAATTTAGCTAAAACAAAATTTCTATTTTTTGGTCATTTAAATTGAAAATGTTTAAAAAAAATTTTAATGATAAAAAATATTTAATAGCAAAATTCAGTTAAATCATTATATTAATATAATATATTTGATTACAATTTGAGCTAATAAAAAAATTGTGTTTAATTCTTATATTTTGGATAAATAACAAAATTTATTTAATTTAGAATTTTGATAAATAATTTAATAAATGCGTTCAATAAAAATTTAAATAAATAAAAATCTGCTTTAATAAAATAAAAATTTTTTTAAATTAAAATTTAGATTAAATAAATATCTTTATATTTTAATTTATTAAATTTCACTTAAAATTTTGCTAATATTGAAATTTTATACGCGAAAAAATAAAAATTTTCTTTAAAAAATAAATTGTGTTTAGAAATAAATTGTGATTTTTTTTAACGAGAGAATAAATAATAAACTAATATTTTCGTTTAATTAGATACATAAAATATCTTTTGAGAACAGTCAAAATTTCCCTTGAGAGTTTCAGAATATTCGTAAAAAAGACTGAAAATTTCCTATAGAATATATTATGTAAAATTTTATTTAATTATTCATAGAAAAAAATTTTTATTATGCTCAAAAACATAATTTTTAATCAAATGAATTGTTTTTACACATTATTTTGAATTTTTAAATTAATTTTTCCCATTGTTATTATTATTATTATTATTATTATTATTATTTATTATAATAATTATTTTTATATTATATATTATACTATTACATTTATTATTATTATTATTGGTACCGAGATTTAAAATGTTTAAAAATTGATTCAAAATTCGCGATTAGCGAAGACAAAAAATTCTTAAATATCAAGTTCTATAAAAAAAACCGGATTTTTTTCAACTGTCCGCCATATTAGTTACGCCTTTTTGAATTTATCAAATTTGACTTTTTAATCGTATACGCAGAAAATTAAAAGGCAGTAAAATAAGCTGCAAATTTTAATCCAATTTTGCTTATTTTAATCCATTTTGGTATTAAAATAATTAAAATTGGATTAAAATTTGCAGCTTATTTTACTGCCTTTTAATTTTCTGTGTAATTATCGACAAATATTATTAACATTAAGCAATTATTAGTTAGTATGAAATATTTTATAAAAAGAATTATCAATTTTCGTTCTTTAATCTTTTTTTTTTTTTTTTTTGAAAATAATTTAGAAAATTTTTTTATTTGTTTAAAGTACTAAAACATTATATATATACATATTTAGACAATTTCGTTTCTTATCCAATCGGTATATTTTATCTTTTGAAAAAGAGAGATTTAAATGAACCCCTTTTTCTTTCTCCTTTTCTCTCTTTTATATATATATAATGATTCTCATCCAGTAAACTTGGAGAGGAAGTAGTTTTCACGAACTGAAAGTCCTTTTAGAAAGTTATTACTTCACTAGATTTGTCGGAACGACGGAAAAGAGAGAAGGAAAAGCGTCACGTCGGGTTCATGCAGAACGGTCAGAGAGAGGAGAATATTATCCTTAATGAAGGAACTTTGTCGCATTTAACGTCCGCTTGCTTCATGAGAAGGAAGTTGGCAGTAGTGATGAGATGCGAGCAATGGAGGGCGCACAAAAAAAAAAAAAGAGAGAGAGAGATAAAAAAGAGGATGAGAAGAACTATAAGAATAATAATGAAGAAGAAGAAGAAGAAGAAGAAAAATAGTCGGGGGTAAAAGGCAACACACCACATTCGCGCGCACATTCACACTCACCTGGATACGTGCCTCAGGCAATCCAATCTTCTCGGCGAGACGCTCCCGTGCAAACACGTCCGGATAATGTGTCCTCTCGAATTCTGTAACGTGTGGCAAAAGTTGCAACAAGTGCTCATTATTTTTTTTCAAACGCAAAATCAATTTTCAATATAGAAAAGAAATATAATTACCTTTTTCAAGACTATCGATTTGCTCATTCGAAAATGATGTTCGATTCCGTTGTAATTTTCGTTTAAGCCTCAATCGTACTTGGGAATCTTCATCGCCCGATGAATTATGCTCGGAATTACCATCAGACGTAGTTTCCTGTTGATGGGAAAGTAGGGAGCCAGTTTCTGTAAGAAAACAAAAGGAGAATTATAATAAAATTATGCTATATAAACACATAAATCAAAATTACATAACATCTAATACCGACAGGAAGTTTAAATTCTCTAATAAAGTTATATAATCGGTTATATTACATCATTGCGAAAGGAGTAATCGAAATCTTGCACTGATTTTATAAGTGTTATCGATCGAAAAAATTTTTTGGCTATATATATACGAACGAGGGCCTGTCAATCCCCGAGCGTCCCGATTAGTTTCCACCTCCGCGCACCGAACCCTCGGTGTGTTTTGGATCCCTCATTCCGTTCCCTTCAGTGTTCCTCTATTTCCATCTCCTCTCTCTCTCTCTCTCTATTTCTCTGATGTGTTCCGTCCGTTCGTCAGCTGCTCGATTTCTCGTTCGCCTCGCCAATTGGACTCGCTATATAAGGCTCCCCCTGAAAAACTTCTCGACGAAATACCAGCACCCTAAACACCCCCTAACAACCCCGCATCTCAAGGAGACAGAGTATCACGCGCAAGATAAAAGCTGATCCCATTCAATTGCAAAAAAAAAGAAGAAGAAACTTCCAAATATAACTCGAGAGATTAAAGTTTTCTATTTTCGAGATAATGAAATTCATTCTTTCGGGAACTTTTTGATACCTCTTCGAAAAACCGAGAGAGAGAGAGAGAGAGAGAGAGAGATCGTTCCGGCTTCCCCCGAGCCGGTTTCATAATCTGTCCATTGATGCTCTCCGCATCTGGAATTGTCATCTGCGGGCCAATCTGTGCCGCAATCTGAGCCGCCTGACTGATTTTTCGTGATCCTATTAAGTGGAGGCGATTTGACGAGCGCAGGTATTCCCAATGTATATATATATATCTCGAGGGAGAGAATATACAACACATAGAGAGAGAGAGAGAGTTGGCCAGACGAACTAGCCTCTTCAAAGAGAATCTAATGTGTCACGAAAAAAGGTCACAAAGGATCCTGACACTTTGTGACTTCAATTGTGCGCCACTTGAGCTCGATTGCACCAACGTAATATCCAAGGAAAAAAAAGAAACTCATCCGTAAAATTCACCCACAGTTAAAATTATTTATCGAAGAGGCAATATCAACAATAATAATTTTACAAGTTATTCCCTCACAATTGGAAATCCGGATTGAAAAGATTACATACATTTCTTACGCTTCTATCATTAGCAAAAAAATATTGCAGGACAGTTTTTCTAATCAATGTTCCAAACTTACGATTAGCAGTTTTGAGGAAAAATTAATGTAAAATCTTCGAATTATAAATGAAAAAATGCTTAGGCGATTTAGCTATAGGCTCTTAGTCACGAGAGGAACCCACTAAAAAGGATTCCTAGTTATCCTAACAAATTTCTTGCCATAATAACTAGGAATCCTTAGGGCCAATTTCACCAACTCTGGTTAAAAGTTAATCATCGATTAAATTCCTAACCGACCAATCATGAGCGGTTAAATTGGCTAGAATCGCTGATTAATTTTTAACCAGACTTGGTGAAACTGGCCCTTAATGTAACTCTGATTTTTAGTGGGTTAGTCTAGCTAAATCGCCTAGGAATATTTTTCAGTGTATATCAAAGGAAGATTTAAGGGAAATTGTCTCCGTTTAAATCCGTTCATCATCAGAAATCAAAAAATTCGTTTCGCAATTATAGAAAAGAGAAAAACTCACCACTTCTCTTCAGAAGGGAATCATCGCGTCCGTGTAGTTGACCACCGGGTAAAAGTGACTGCCCCGAGCCAGGGGTTGCAGACGTTGGAATTCCAGTGGTAAGGGGATGATGCGATGGCGTCGCTGAATACCATGCGGGTGGCCATCCTGCAGCTTGTCCATTGAACATCCTCAACTTGTCGTAGACGCTTTCAGCGCCTTGATGTGCCTGTACCGCTGCCTGTTGCTCCTTCTGCGAAGCCAAGTTCCTCAGCACCCTGTTTATAGATGACACCTGCAAAAAAAAAGAAAGAAAAAAAAAAAATAAAAGATGAGAAGAAACCCTCCGTTAGAGAAGACGCATACGTTGATTTTATCGAGCATCTTTCCGCTAGAATAATTTCGATGATGTTTATATTCAAGACTGGTTTTAGAATATTATTTCAACATATAGAAATTTCAATATATAGAATAAAAATAAACTGTTATCGAATGCTAATATTTGTATATATGCACTCCCAATTATTACGATGAAACACGTTCACCTTAGAACCCGCAATGGCTAACTCTCAAAAGTTATAACGAGCTGCTGTTTGGTTGCACTCGAGTCATATTATATAATAGACTTTTGCGCTATAACGAACAAACCAACTCACCCCTTGTTGAATATCGAGCCGAGAACTTCTTAATTACGAATCCCAAGGAATTACTCTCCGAACTAATTCAATACCAATTGGCTGAGAAAATACTAAGTGATATCCTTTCCAAATCAAAACCATTTATCCTTTTGAAAGATCAAAGGTTACTCATTTTGTCAAGTAGACAAATTGTGTATCAAAATACGTCTTTTGAGTATTTTTGATTAAGTATCTCATTAAACAGAATGGATTCTTGCTCTCTTAGTGTATATATATATATATAAAACTAGTCTCTTGGACTGTGGCGGTGGGTTCGTTTCGGTCGTCGCACAACAGCCGCAGCATCGATGCAGACCATTACACGCGCTACCGGACACGAATAATTGTGCAACACGCTTAACTGATCCCATTCACTGTGATTCTACCCGCTTCCATCCGATGGCTAACCCCCCCCCCTCTTTTTCCCTCCCCTTGTACAGTTCACCCTGCGCCGCAACGTTACCAGTACCATCACAAACCAGCATTCTATATAGCAATACCACTATATATATATAGTCAAAACAAACGAAAGAACGAGAGCCGTCGATCCACTCGAGATCTCTCTCTCTCTCTCTGTGTAGAAACTTTGATTGATCAAGCCCGTCTGATCCTATTCGTTTGAACCCCTCTCTCCGCCAGATGTATAACGATGCGAGCGCGTGCCATTCTCATTCACGGGAAAATCATTCTTTTACTCTTAATAGACACACACACACTGATTTGGATTACAAACTGTGTCATCTGCAAAAATTCCCTTTAGCGTTGTTTGGGTTATTTCGACCCTCAGAAAAGTGGAAAAGCGGAAATCTTTTGTAGAGATAAGGAAACTTTGTATTTCATTAACTGAATCGAAACATTTGGATTTAATTGATACATTAGAAAAATTTCATCACAACTTTGTAAATTATGATTTTTCGTGTACTTTTCCTTTGGCTCGAATATCACTTGCAAATCTAGATTACTTAATTCATCACTTGTACTGTTCATAGAGTATAGGATTCGATTCTCGAACAAAGCAAACACTCCGAATACTAGGAATTTTGGTTTTAGGAACTTGGATCCAAAATGTAAACCTCCAATTTGCTTGCAGATTCGAGTTGAACTCAAACAACTTCAAAAAGGTTACAGAAGCGGTAATTTATTATTACTAATGGATGATTCCTTTGTTTCTCCAAAAAGATATAGACGATCCAAAGTACCTAATGAAATGGAGATTACAGTCTTACTGGCCCTGATAACACCCCAACATAAATTCTTTCATGTAAAGAATTTACTTTTGCGAGAAAAAGGTGCTTTCTTAGGAGACTTCAATATATTAAAATCACTAAAGACCGAATTAAGAAAATCCTTATTTGTCAGTAAATAGGCAACAATTTTAATATCGTCCCTCTCTAGAAGTAATTTCGATAATATAAAATCTACTTCTTAAAAACTAATCCTGCCCAATAACTTACGGCAGTAATTTCAGTTAATTAATCGCCATTCAGAATCTCCTATATATAAATATATGTCAAGCGCGAAATTTATTTTCCAAAGGGATTTAGGTGCTTCTTCCGGCATTCGATATATCCCTTGAAAGGAATGTGTGTGACCAATGTTCCAAAAAGTATTAGTATCATTCGTGTGTAACAAGGGGAAGATCAAGAGGATGTTTGGAAGACTACGCACATGTGTGTGTGAGAGAGAGAGAGAAGATTCTTTGGGAATTGGAGGGGAAAGGGGTTCGACAGTCGATGAGGGTGGACAATGTCGAGTCCGCGTAATGGACCGATTACCCCACCTACCCATTGCAACTGATGGTATTGACGAGACTTTGATTAGGGTCGAGTGGCCAGATCCGACGGGTAAGTGCTGCCTGCTTGCGCACCCTGATAAGCTCACTGCAAAGACCGCGTATATATACATACGTTCCTCGTTAAAGGGAAGTTTCATTAATGCGAATGCTTTAGGATTAATATTCTTCGACACCTGTCCATTTATGACTCTATATATGGATTATGTGAAAGCATAATCAGAAAAGTATGAATTATTTTCCACCTTGGGGAATTAGTTAAAAGATTGACTTACACTTGGTATGTTGTCATTGTTGCAGACACCTTCCTGAAGCAATCGATCCCGAATCTCCCAGGCAAAGATTGAAGGACACTCGCGTTTGTAGTCAGCAATTTTATTGACGACTGGTGTTGTCGCGACTCGTGGTTTACTACCGCCAATTGCTCGTGGCTTTATCGAACCCGTTTCGTAGTATCTGGAAAAGAAAATCTCGATTTTGAAAATTGTAGTTTGTTCCAAAATTATTAGCAGATTTTGCATCAGCAGCACTTAGATTGGAATAAGAAAGGAGGAATCTTCTAAGGAATCTGATTTTCTTGTATTTTTTTTTTTGGGAATGTTTATACAGAAAGAATTGAAATATACTGACCTTCCAAGAATTTTCGAGACACATCCGTTGCTGACTTGAAGAATTCGTGATATATCACAAGGTCTTGCGCCACTGTGTGCCAATTCGACAATTTTCTGCCTCGTGGAATCGGGCAATGGCCGTCCATTGACATAAACACCTCCAAGTTGGTTGACACCACTATGTCCTGCAGCCGAGCATCCAAATATGTTCTGTCCGACCATAGAACCCCCTCCAAGACCCACTCCACCCCCGTGCATCAAGTCATCCTCTGTGAATCAAAACATTACACATATGTATATGTATTCCATTGGCAAACAAATTCGGTATGAAAATCAAATTAGTCTCTCCTAATTACGATCCAAACTAATATTATACCTCAACGAGAGATTTCAGGTGTCAATTTTACACTTGAACTATAATTTTTCGAAATAGATGATTTTTAAAATTATGTTTCTGATGTTTCTGTTTGTGTGGGTTTATAAGCAGAGCACTCTTAGAAAATTTTGTATATACATAATAATGAAAAGGAGTGAATTCTCAACATTTTGTGTGTAACATTTAGAAATGTCGAAGGAGCTCTTTGCTCTCGCTCTAAATGCATCTAAATTAACAAATTTAATTAATCCCCAACATTTGCGCGTGAACCGACACAAGAAATAGTTAGAATACTATTTTAATGTCCCTCTTTGTGCTTGTTGCGCCTCGAAACACACCTTTATAAGTGTGAAACACATTTCGTATGCAACTAAGCAGCAGAGTGCTGTGTCTTTCGAAAGAGCTTGTTGTACACGAATTATTTGAATCCCTTGCCTATATATACTTCTCTATTTTCACAATAATTCGAGCATAAATTTTCAAAAATTCATTTTCTTCGATACAAATTAAATCTAAAAATTTAAATTAAATTTTTTTAACACTTTTTTTGTATTTAAAACTTATTTGCGAATTGACGTGCATGTTTTTATGATGATATATATAGAGCGTTTTCAAGGCGATTTGTCTTCTGGACGATTCCTAATAGGTTCGAACGTCGGCTCGTGAATACAATTTTCACATTGATCAAAGAGGTCTTCCGAAAGAATTTTTTTTTTTTATTCTTTCTCTCACTGGCGGTGATGTCCGACAATGAATATTCATATCGCGTTCGCATTAACGACCGGATAAGTCAAGCCTGTGACTTTGTAATCTGTCGTTTAATTTATGCATACTATATATATAGATATATATATACATGATATACTGAAAAAAGATGTATTTCTTGCAAGTTTAAAATTAATCTATTATATGCAAATAAATAATTGTTTTGTGGGAACTATTTTGATGCTTATGATATATATGCTTTAGAAGATAACCAGGACTTGGTAATAGAAAATATAAAAATAATATTTAGAATATATAATTTAGTTTTATTCGTTTATATCTATATGTAATAGATAAAATTTTGGATTTTAGAATCAAGAACCAGACTATTTTTAAAGCATTTTGAATCCGAATCTGATCTCAGAATTTACCTCGAGTTTTCGAACTCTAACCTAAAAGTACAAAAAGAAGTTTTTTTTTAACCATATTTGAGGTTATATGTGACATAATTATTATTCAAAAAGGTTGTTACAGCATCTAAAAGTATACTATATTATTACCCTTTAAAACACAGAAAAAACATAGGTGGCGCCCTTAACTCCGGATAAAATTTGTTGCAGTTAATTTTTATACCGATTTTGAGGTAAAAATTCTACTTTTATTTTCATGTGTTAATGCATTTTGAAACTTAAATCTTTATTCGACTCGTTATTGTTATTTGAATTTTTGATTTTGCTACTACCCAGTTTACGAATATATTGAAACATTCACCAAACTCAGAAAATTCAAATAACGATAACTCAGAACCAAATAAAGACATTTTAAAGGGTAAAAATAGTACTTTCAGATGCTGAAAAAATCTTTTTGAAAAAAAATCATCTCTTGATGTTACATAACCTCAAATACGGTTAAAAAAACATCTTTTTAGAATATTTTGAAAACCTGACGCGCTAGGTCAGATTCGGATTCAGCAAGTCAAAACGCATCGCGAAAATTTATAATTCGCGTTCATGGTTCTAAAAGCAGGCCAACATTTTGTCGACCGTGTGTTAGGACATTATATTTATAGAATTCGAAAATTCTCTAAATCCCTATGTTGTTTAAGACAGAATTCTGATAATAATTTCCGCTGGAATTTAATCGGAATTTCCATAATTTCGCGATTTCCGACGAAATTCCAAAAGCGTTTCCTCTGGAAACTTAATTCTGTGTCGAAAATCGCGAAAAAAAATCAAGGAGAGAAGGAGGAGGAGAGAAAATCCATTTGTTGTATGTAGGATAATAAATTTAAAATGGCTTTATTAAAAAGAAAATGATTGAGGAAAAGTAGAATTGAAAAGAAAGGCACCGTTGAAGTGGACAACCTTTAGCGCCATGTTGGCTTGAAGAAAACTCTTGTTAAAAAAAAAAAAACCCCCGCGATGTATATATATATATATATGTGTGTGTGTATATAAAAGCGCCAGTGGGAGAGAGGCAAGATGAGCGCAAATGTATCCTCGTGTGTACACGTACACGCTATGCCACTATACACTCTTTATTTATAATTTCGCGTTAATCTACGCGACGACCGGCAAAAGCGAGTCGTGCCGCAAAGTGAGGCAAAAAGGTTCCACTTCGCTGAGCGTGAAACGGGACACAGATTAAATCCCATCGTAGCGGCGCACGACGTCGCGGCGCTTTCTCTCCATCCTTGTCACCATCTCTCTCTTTCTCTCTCTCTCTCACTCTTTCCATCCCTTGTGAACCATCACCTCCTCTCATGCTGTACAACCCCCTTTTACCAAACAAGTTCTGTACCACGTAGCTTTCTCTCTTTCTCTCGTATAGACTACATTCGTACTCGCTGCACTCAAATATAAAAGTACCAGAGAGAAAAAAATAGGTACTCTATTTTTTTTTCTCTTTCTTTTCTCACATTCGAGCAATATTTGAAAACTCAGACGACGACGACGACGTTGCTCAATTTTCACGCGGCTCTTGAAAAGTGACATATTATGGTAATTAGATATTTTTTGAAAGATTTTGTGTTTTCGAAGTGTTTTTATGAATTTTTCATTTTCACACGAAAAAAAAAGTAGAATTTTTACCCCAAAATCGGTATAAAAATTACCTGCAACAAATTTTATCCTAAGTGGGGGCGCCACCGTCTATGTGAATTAGCATTGGTTAAAATTACCCACAACAAAATTTACCCAGCGTTTTTTCTGTGTTTTTATATACTTTGACTGAAAAAATTGTTTGGATGGAAACAGAAAAGATTTGAAAATGAAAAGAAGAAGAGCATGTAACAGGGTTGAGTAGCCACGAATCGAACACGTTTCTGATTGGTTGCGGTAATATTACCAGCCAATCAGAAACGTGTTCGATTCGGGACTTTTACAACCCTGTTTCTGGATTCAGGCTACTTCTATACAACAAATAACAAAAAATATACTTATTAAAATAATAAATATAAAAATAAATATTATAAATAATAAAACATACAGATAACAAAAGATTCAAACACTGCAAAAAGAAGTATCTTAATATAAGAAAAAATTAAAAATTAATTAATTATTAATTAAAATTAAAATTCCTGGTTCTCTAATTAAAGCAAGTGGCTATTCCCTTATTGAACCTTTGTTTATTATTTACAATGAATCATTAAACTCTTCCTCCTTTCCGACTGAATGGAAAAGGGGTATTGTTGTTCCCGTTTACAAGTCTGAAAATAAAAATAATATTGTTAATTACAGACCAATTACGATTTTAAATGTTTTTTCAAAAATTTTTGAAAGTTTGATTTTTGATATTCTATATGTTTCTGTATCCAATACTATTATTGAGGAGCAGCATGGGTTTGTAAGGGGTCGCTCTACGGTGACAAACCTTGGAGTATTTACTAACTTTTTAACTGTCAACCTGGAGATTGGTAAACAGATTGATGTTGTCTATGCTGATTTATCTAAAGCGTTTGACAAAGTTGATCATAAATTATTATTGAGGAAGCTTGTTGCCATGGGAGTGTGTGAGAGCTTTGTTTCTTTTCTAGGAAGCTATCTTTCTGACAGGTGTCAAGTAGTTAAAGTAAAACATGTTTATTCTGATCCTTTTTTTGCAACCTCCGGCGTGCCTCAGGGATCTAATCTTGGTCCACTTCTCTTTGTTTTATTTATGAATGACATAAATTCTGTTTTTGTTCACTCATTATTTCTATTGTATGCAGATGATCTCAAATGTTATAGGATTATAGGTCCTTCCCAACCATGTCAGGATTCTTCGGATCTCCAGTCTGATTTGAATCGCCTGTCTGATTGGTGTGACCGTAATCTTATGACTATTAATATTAAGAAGAGCAATATAATATCATTCTCAAAGAGAAGTATGTTAATATATCACTATACTCTTGCTGGTGAAGAGTTGATCAGAGTAACAAAAGTGAGAGATTTGGGAGTACTATTGTGTAGTGATCTCTCGTATAATGAACATATATCGGAAGTGATCTCAAGAGCTTTAAGATCTCTGGGGTTCGTCATGAGAAATGCGTCGGTTTTCCATAATTCTGCGACATTGAGAGTGTTATACTTGACGCTTGTTAGAACGATAGTTGAATATGCTGTAGTTATCTGGTCACCAATTTATGTATATAATATTATTAGACTTGAACGTATTCAAAACAGATTTCTCAGATTTGCAGCAAGACAGCTTGCTATACCATATGATGCTCATTCACATGACTATGATAACTTGCGTTCAATATTTAACATGCCTATGATCTCTTCGCGTTTTCTTTATGCTGACTTGATTTTTCTTTATAGACTTGTGAATGGTATGATTAATTGTCCTACTCTACTTTCAATGATTAATTTGTCAGTTCCTGGAAGGTCGAGGAGATACAATTCACTTTTTTCTGTTACTTATCACAGAACTAATTATGGTAATAATGCCTTGATTAATAGGCTTAGTAGAGAAGCAAATTTAGTTGCAAATGATATTGATTTTTTTGATGACAGGTATTCCAGATTCACCTTATTATTGCGTAGATTAATATTGAATCGTATTAATAATGTTCCTACCTAGCTATAAATTAATTAGCTTAATATTAATAAATTGAAATTATACTTAGTTTTAAGAGTACCTATGTACGAAAGGGCTTGTCCCGTTAACTAAATAAATAAATAAATAAATATAAGCGATGTTTTAGTA